CCATAATCAACCAACCAATATAGCAAAAGGCCATCTATCCTCCGGTCTCGGTGTTGCGTGTTCCACTGACGGGTCCTGCCTGGGCGTTCAGCTCAGCTGGGGCCTGAAGAAGGCCACTTGGGACGAAGAAACGTGAGAATGCACGGCTGAGCGGATGCCTGGGGAAATGACATACAAATCATACAAATTGAACTCTTCGAAGATCTTATTTGTGAACATAGATCAAACATATATATATATATAGTTGATTGAACTATCATGGACTACAAATATGACATCCCAGCTTTCATCTCAATGTCCAAACAAGCCCCGTAGATCTAGGACCTCGAGTCGCCACAGGATTCCACCAGATCGGAAATCCTAAAAGCATCGCTAATAGGAGCAAGGACGCTACTAGGGGTTTTTGGCATCGCTACTAGGAGCAAGAAGCTAATAGGGGCTCCTGGCCTTACTACTAGGAACAAGGATGCTACTAGTAACAAGGGCATCGCTACTAGGAGCAAACCTTTTAAAGGATCCAAACCTAGGAGATCCTGCCCGCCCCTGGCCTATGCCCAAGAGCGACGAAAGGATTCCGTTGATGAAGTAGGGAGCCTTTCTTCGAACGGCTCGTGGTTTGCACAAAAGATCCATGAGTTGGTAGTCCGAGGAAGGTGGCGTGTTCAAGTCAATTCTGTGCTTCCCGTGTGCGTATCGGATTATCACTGAATAATCATCATGGATGTGGCAAAAGAATTCAGGAACTCTCACCTGACAATATCAGGGTGTGCTGAGAATGATAGGGTGTCCACAAACATAAGACCCCCGATAAAGGAAAATAAGGCGGGTGGCAAGGGTTTGCAGGTGATTGGTTTCGGAATGTCTCGAAATCATAAGACCGAAATCCAGCTCCTTTGGCTAAAAATGGCTAAAGAACACCCGAGAACAACAATTAAGATCCTTGCTATGGTGTGTCCTTGACACGTGTGATGTTGGCCGGATGTGTTGGGTAAGGACATTGAAAGCAGTCTGTTCATGGTGCTGTTCATGGCGGCAGTCTGACCAGTCGTCCAAGTGCTGGGTCAGAAGACTCAAGTCCAAATCAGTTGAAGTAAGAATAATAAAATGTTATAAGTGGTTTCAGAGTAGATGGCACAGACCCCAAGACGTGGTTATATGGACCCCCATCTGTCTAGGACATCTTGGGGGAAACGTGCCATCTACTCTGAAACCACTGTACATACATACCTGATCATCCCTGCAACTCATCTGCCACCTGTTCAAACAGGAGAATCACAAATATCTTCAGTGACGACACACGACTACACCTGGAAGAGGCCCACATGGAAATGTCCAACCAACGGGGGTTGTAGAGGAAAATCGTCTAGTCTGGTCCATGCCATGCCCGGTTCCATGTGGGGATCTTCCTGGGTGTAGTCCCCAATAGTCCGCAAATGTTCTAAGGACGGGGCCTTGTTGATCACAGCTTCTGGCTCTATATGGCATGTACAGTATACTTCCAACGTCTTCCCATATCGCTTAAGCTTCCAAATGTCGCTCGAGTCAGCGGAAACCGGTCGCCCTGTCACCCTTACACACGCTGATTCAGAACCTCCGCCGCAACAGCGCAGTAGAATCCCTGGGCCGCGAAAGGACTGACCACCTTGATGCTGAAGACTTTTTGGCCGCCTGGCGCTGTTTCAGTTCTGGCTTCGGCCCAAACCAGTTAGGTCGCCTCGCTTGATCGCTTGTCATCACGGCGGCAGCTGTGACCTTGCCTTGACCCACCTGGGGCCTGGCCGATTCAGTCGCACATGGGCCGCGTGCGATCTCACTCTGCTCTGCAGAAGCCAAGGCAACAGTTTGTGGCAGAATCGGCCAGAACCCCCGAGTCTCAGAACCAAGTGTTGATTTTGGCCATAACCAGCCCCCTTGGCCTTGACAGTGTCTGCGGATCGTGTATCGAAGTGTACTTGCTCACCGTGTGGAAAACTCTTTGCTCCGTCCAATCAACACTCAAACGACGGGGGCTCTGGAGCCTAGGCCTGGTGGTTCACCGCCGGGCGGCCGTGGCCGAATTATGAGAAAAACAGCAGCCTTCCAACACAATACACTGACACCCTCCTGTTGGGGCCAAATATTGTTCATGCATGTTAATGCTCTCCTGTATGTCGGTACATCTCTGGAGCGGTGATTGACCAAAACCAGCGTAACAAACAACATTGGAAGGCTGATTTCACCGCCGTGCCTGACCCATCCGGACGGAGATTCATTGGCATGGGGGACACGCAGTGAGCCCAGGCCGCACATGAGGCGATTCGTGTGGAAAAGACGTTCCCCACAAGTTGTTGGCTAGGGGGAGTGGATGGGAGTGTAAAACACAAAAACACCAGGCCGGGCTCACCTGACCTCGCTCCGGCTGCAAGGGGAAAAAAGACACCATGGAGATGAGGTGAACTCGGTAAACACACACACAACAGATGGGCAGCCTCATCACTCGTGTCCGAATTCATCTCAACCAGCTGGTCACACACATGGGTCCTGCTTGATATCTGTTCATCCTTCCAGTGACCTCGTGCTAAAAACCACCCACTCACCACACCCACCAATTCCTTGCTCTCGACATAGAATGACTTGGTTGCCTGTCACTGGAAGGGCAAAGTAGCACTATTGGATCCAGGGCTTGACCATATTCCACATCTTCCCACTAAGCAAGTGGGCTGGAACTCATCCCGCTACCTTTGGAAGCAGGAGGTGCCACTGCCCAGGTGATCACATCACACTGGGCAGTTGGCAGCACTCGGAATCGGCTGGAGGTGGCTGTTGAGAAGGTGGGACACCTGTAAATCAAATGGAACATTATGTGGAAATGGGTCATTTCCAGTTGACGCTCGAGTGGGCTCTATATCACGCAGTTTATTTTCGCCTGTTTTTTGTTCGTCCCACCCACCGTCCCACCCGCCTCCAATTTCGTCACGAGAACGAAGAGAAAACGTGGATTAAGTGGAAAAGGATCTGTTGGAAGACGACATAGTTCCACTTAACGACATAGTTCCACTTATGTTGGATTAAGTGGAAAAGGATCCTCTAAATTGACAACATAGTTCCACTTCCCTGGAACGTCTTCGTCGGATCTCACAAGACTTTCATATCTTGGCATCAGGTCGGACTGGTCCAGATCTCGGCCGTTCTGAGAAGGTCTAGCGGTCTCTTTGGTGGCCATACCAAGCCATCCAAATCCATGGCGCAAGGCCCAGCAAGCCCTGAGTGGGGTGGGAAAAAACATCAGGAAAGCAAAAAGGCCGAATTTGATATGTAGGACCTGTCGGAACAAGTTCTCTTTGTGGTACGGATTCCAATTAAGAGCTCGTGATTTTCTCGGGGTCTCCGGTGCACATCATCCAGTCACTTGGGGTCTCCAAGACCATGTCGTTGATCGCTTGTTGATCGCTCGTTGTCGCATGGTCGCAAAATCGAAGGCTCGTTTTGATGCGTATAGTACGAGCATTTGCACCACCAGAGTCATTTACCTCAAACTTAAGCTGCTAAACATTCTCAGTACATCTGCGACAATTCCAACATGCAAGGACTTTCTGGAGTTCTGGAGCATGCATAAATAAATTGATACTGACTTACGTATATATACAGTATAAAGAGAGAGAATCTTTTTGGCCCCAAAGCATGTTTCAATGTTGGCTTTGGGGATAGCCCACGTTACAATGTGCAGTCTATAGAGGAGATTGCACGAGGCGCTTCTACTTGGAGCTTTGTGCTTTAAAATTGTGCGCGAAATATACGGAATAGAAAACCAAACTTAAGGGGGTCCTCAACTTTGCCTTTTCTCCACCAACAATCCTGAAAGCCTTTGCCAAAACATATTGACACCTGACAGTGACAATCTGCAAAATAGTTGCTCCTCTTCTTCTAACTACCCTTCCTTGATTAGATTGTCAGGTACCAGTTTTCTTATGTGTTTGTATTCGGCCTTTACTTAGTCAAATTGGTTTGCCATGGTTTACCCAAACTCTCATCTGGTTGTTCTTTCTGGGGCAATTTGATCCTTACATATTCTGACCCTCTTCTTCACATCTTCCTATTCTGAAGGTCCTTGTTTCTGCTCTTCAGGTTGCATTTTGTTTCATGCTTAGCTCTTCTACTCCCAAATGCTGTTGATAGTAAGAACGCTGAGAAACCAATAAAGAAAAACATGAAGAGTGACACAAAACACCAGGGGTTCATTGGCCTCTGTCCTGGCAAGCAATATATTCTATATTCGTATCCATTGATGTACAGTAACATATATAAATGGTGTGACGTAGAGCTCTTTGAGTAGTCACTCCCCTGATCCTTGACTCCCCTACTTAGACAGCGGCTCTTTCTCTGAAAGCTAGTTTGTCTTGGTATTCGTTGGCTCCTCCTCTTGAGCCCCCTTGTTCTTGAGCAATTCTCAGTGTTAGGACCAAAGCTTCTGACCATTCCCAATCCGACCAACCACAAAAATTGGAGCACATCAGCCCCAGTTGAAGAAGTCTATCACCTCAGATGTCACCACCCCTCCAACGGCCCAAGGCATGCCTTCAGCAGGCTGCTTCCCAGGCTCCGTGCTGCTAAACACCAAGGCCCCCAGCGGCAATGGCAGCCACTGCCGCAAGCCTTACTGCTAAGGGCTTTGAACGCCCTGTCACCAGCAATACCACGCATCAATTCCTCAGACCCCAAATCCTGAAAACGGCCGATTCTTGCTTGAACACGAGCCAAGGGCTTGGTTGAACAGAGTGCGGTGCATTGATCTGAGATCCAGAAAAGTAGGTCTAGCAAATATATCTACAGGTCTGTGGCCTGGAGGCATTTGTAGCTGGCTTTTCCTTGCAAGTGGGTGGTTGGGCATTGATGGTTATTGCACGTTTTGAGCTCTGGAGGGGCCCTGATCCTGAGGCGTTTCGTGTTAGCTTCCGTCGAACCAACTCTGAAATGACCAGTGTGCTCCAAAATAAATCGATTTTCCTAGATTCTAAGATTTTGGAGCCTGCTGGTGGTCCCAGAAGTTCGAAGACTACTTTTAGCACCACCGGAGTAACGGAAACTCCTTCTACCCGGTCAGCAACAAATCTTTGATTTGTCTTGGACTTCCAGGGTTTACGAGGTGTGAATCCGACCGGTTTTCACTCGTCAACACAATGGGTGACATGATTTTGCTGAACGCCACAGAACAGAAAATAGATGTAAGCAGCAAACGTCTTTTGGATTGTTGCCATTGGAGATTCATGTTCGCCATTATGTGCTTTCATGTTTGGAGTCTCCACATCCTAAGATCCAGATTATCTGCTTATCTGATTCCCATCACCTGGACTTCCTTATTCTTGGCCAAGCACCCATGTGGTAATAGTTCCCCAGAAGCGTGGCGGACGTGATACAGAAAGAGACCATCCTCGGCTCACACTTCAGGTGGACCAAGGGTGGTCAACAGGCCTTCTGCACTTCAGAACTTCCAATCACCGGCGTAAAGAAGTATGGCCCCATGGATGCCCATGGGTTGAGGACCCTCAGGACGCTGGTGAATTCCCCACTACTGGCTAATTACACGGTCTGCTTGAACCCATACCCATAGTCGCCCGGCCAACACCGAGGTGGAAAAAGGGCAACAGAATGGTCCGTCCTCTTCCAAAAAGAGGTACATCTGCTTGGTGCTACTGTTCTGCACCACTAAAGTGAATGGATTTGCATTCAAACGTCTCCGGTGGTTACTTGCGAAACTCCTGCCCACATTCTGAAGCCAAGTCGGCCAAGTCTCAAGGTGGCAAGATGATCCACCCAAGCCCGGCTGGCTCGTGCACGCATGAAGCGAGCCAGCCAAAGGGTCGAGAAGACCACCTCAGAAGTTCCGAAGCCAACGAGGCAGGGTTCGTCCGCTGGGATTTCACCCCCGTGAGAGTGTGAAACATGGGAAGGACTGACAAAACATCAGCCGCTGCGACATCTTGGTATTGGGGATGTGCCAAACAGGAGCCAAACCCTGAGGCTGCTCGCAGCTCTTGGACACCAGTAACTCAACAGTACATCAAACATGATTGAATTCCTGCTTAGAAGCTGCCGGGAAGAAGCACAACCACCAGCCGAATCCAAGGATCACGATGTGCCAAAACTCCAGCCACTCCTTTGCGCGGAGCCGTGGAGAGGACATGTCCATGAAGCCCCACAAGATCGGCGAGGAGCTCGCTAAAATCCATCCTCAGCATCTGCCAGATTCACTTTATGCCGATCCATCATAGCTACGCAGCTAGATCTCAATCCCTGCCAAGCATCGATAGGGGAAAAGCTTGCCGCCCAATTGTCGGTAAAGCATGGACCTGATAGAGGATTTCACGATGTCTTCAAAGTCCTTGACAGAGCCAAACCAGCTCTCGATACATTTGGAGATGATCACCCGATCACAGCGCTGCTTGCTCTCGGCACAGTGTCCAGTGCTGCAACAATGACAAGAGGTTCCTTGAATGGAGAAACTGGACAGCTGGTCGAGTAAAATCTCTGCATTGCCTTAACTGCCCGCCTCGCTCCCGCCAAAGCAAGCATGAACGCAAAATCAAAATGACATGTGCGACGTGAGAAAAGAAAGGTTGCATGAACAAGTGACTCACCATGACTGTGCAATAAGTGATGTTCTCTTGTTCCTTCCTGCGTGAAACCAAAACGAGCTTGCCGAATATGCCAGCTACGGTAGTGCTCGCGCAGCGCCCCGGCGGCGAGATAGAAGCCCACGAGGCGTGTCGCAAAGATCAGGAGAAGGATCGGAATGGTCAACCGCGGCACTGAAACCCAAATTGCGAGAGTAAGGACCGTGCCAAGGACAAATCCCAGCATACAAGGAGCAGTGATCATTGGCCTAATGACAATGCTCTCTTCTGCGGCAGGCCCATGACTCTTCAGAAATGCCGCAAACTCTAGCATGCACCACAAGCGAGACACGTAGGTGTCATCCCAAAGTAGAAGAAACTTTTCGGAGTTCTTCAAAAATGCTCCCATGCTCACGAGGCCCGCCGCCTTGGTTTTGGCTTCCGTTTGGTGGATACACATGCGATCCAGGAAGATGGTGCGCTGCGACTGCCACATGAAGAGGACCAAGATGAAAACAATGAAACCCACCAGCAAAGACCATGGAGCAAAAACCAAGGTCACCTGACGCGTCTACGTGGCCAACATGTTCTGCTTGGATGGCCTTCTAATACGCGTGACTCTTCTCACATCCACTTTGCCATGGTTTTAGTTCCGTGCCTAGTCAGGATGCTGTTACACAAGATTGTGGTTGGGATCCAAATTTTGATGGAATGTGAGAAAACGCACATTCGCCTCGATCCATCCCCCTGTTTTTTGCTGTCTGAAGTAACACACAGTAAAAGCATACCCCCCAAAAAAAAAACATAGATAGAAAAGCACCACTCAAAATGTATCGGACACATTGTCTATCTATTTGGAAACCACTATATATCTTATATATCTTACTTATATTGGCTCGGACCTTCCAACGCCCCACCTGGACGTCCATGCCGACCCGTTTGGGCGCTTGCTCCCAGCCAGGCAGGAGCGCCCAACTGTGAAGGACAAACATCACCAAGGCCCCGCCAGCGCCGAGGACCGTCGCCGCGGGCCCGTTGTAAAGCATCAACAACAAAGCCACCTGCAACAGGCGGCACGACTATCAGGGCCACCGGGTAATTAGGGTATCTTTAATAAAGGGCCCTGTTACAGGGGTGTCCACTGGGGTGTCTTTTCACCCATTCTAGGCAGCCGTGGTATGTGCTTTTGTTGGCTGTCTGTCTGTCTGTCTGCCTGCCTGCCTGCCTGCCTTCCTGCTTGCCAGCCTGCCTGCCTGCCTGCCTGCCTGCCTGTCTGTCTGTCTGTCTGTCTGTCTGTCTGTCTGTCTTCTTCTTTCTTGTCTTACGCTTTGGGATGAGTAATTTCCTCTAACATGTGCCAAATGGATAAGTCAAATGAAGATTTCAATGATTTGTCTTGAAAACATTAACAGCATATATAACATGCTTCATATGTCATATTTACCATGCGTTACGGATAACCTCCGACCTTCCACCGCACATGGCCATGCCAACTGTGACTCCAAAAGTCCTTCGACGTTGCAAGCGAGCTCTGCCCATACAGCCTCAAAACGGATTACATGCGACCGATGAGGAGAAGGCCATTAAACACATAAATAGTACACCTAGGAAGACTAACATGGAACTTGAAAATCGACCTTTGGAAGATTATTTTCCTCTACAACCCATTGGTTTTCAGGTTCCATGTTAATTTTCCGGGGTGTACATCATTCGTTGGCCATGTCTTCTAGAAACCAAACATCGCAGCCTAGATAGCCCACCGCATTGAAGTTCCAACCTTGCACGCCACAAGGGTGGGCGCAGATGCACCCTAGAGCCATACGAAAAGAAACACACCTTTTCCACCATCTGGCCATGTAAGGGAACTGACCTTGCAACTTTTGGAGAACACTTGAGTGAAGCCCTTGGACTTGCCACAGATTTGGCACCCGCTCTGGTCAAAACAACTGCACAAGCGGCAAGTCATGGTCTTCGGTCCAAGCTGTCACACGGAAACAAACATTTCACCCAAGGCCCATAGTTGATTCCCTTCCGCAGTGGGAGCTTGGCGACAAGTTTGAGTGACATTTCCTGGGGCCAAGCAGTGCTTGGACTTGGGTCTAGCTGCCTACACTATCTACCCCATTCTTACCAGACTTCCAAGAGGCTTGGTGGCCTCCCGTGGCGTTAGCTGTGGTGGCCTTCGCAAAGGCCAGGCGCCGAAGCGAAGGGCGCGTGCCGCGGTGCTGGCACGGAGAATCTCCGGATACAATGGCTCCATGGAGCCTCACACGTTTCGGTGGAAATTCCTAGCGGAACTCTTCATATCTCCGGTGGAAGCACATGCAATGGAGAAGATGCATGGCTGTACGAAAACAAGGAGTTTCCAAGCCCCCCAGTGGGGTCGGCAAATGGTTGCCCACATGGGTCCACATGGCAAGTACTAAGATCCGACAAGCTTCTCATCCTGTCCGCCAGTTCCCTGGCCCTCTCCACACCATCCTTCTCCTCTTCCAAAGAGTCCTCCAGCTGTTGCAGGGCGTCAAGCCGCTCGATTTCCTGGAATCCTTCGGGACACCCCATACAGGCTTCCAGATCAGTCGTAGTCTCCACGTACCCAATTGGGCCTTAGTGGACGCAAGCAGTTGCATGCACTCTCAGGCAACGTCAGGACGCTCCAGTTCATCTGCAGCCCTCACGTTGCAGCTGTTGTACCTTTGATGCTAGTGCTCCTGACTACTAAGTTCTGAGCGTAGCTCCTTCAAGAGTGTCCAGCTACTAGGTTCTGAGATGGTAACCAGTTCTTCCTAGAGATTCTCTCTCTATGCAAACGTATTCGAACAACATAATGACACAGTAAAATACGGTAAATATGTATGCATGCAAATATTTCTATATTATACATAATAGTAGCTTTGTGGCCACAGTGCTGCCTACCAACTGGGCTTCGAAGCCGGTCGACCGGACACACCGAGGCACTTCCTTCGATCGGCCGCTCCTGCAGCACCGGCTCCAGGTGCTCCATGGGCGAGGCCACGGAGCGAGGCGGGGTGCCGGGCCGCCACGCCTGGGAGTGAACGCCTGACGTGCCGAAGTAGATGCTGTGTTGCCTGAATTGGAGCTCCCAGTTCGTGAGTCTCATCCACCCATCCAAGCACCCCAAGGTGGCCCTTTCACACGAACACCGACAAGCCCCATCAAACATCAGTGGATGACTGTGGGGACCAATTCCATTTCGGAAGGAGGCTCCCAGGTCAAGCCCTTGATCCGATCTGAAACTTGGCCCGCGCAGAATCAGGTCACGGGATCCTTCAGCTCATCTTCAAGAAGACCTGGACCTCTTGAGACCTCTTGAGACCGGGATGCCGTGACCGAACGTTCTTCCTTAGACTTAGACTCAGGAGAGTACCCCATGGGAAACCAAACATGGACCAGTCTGGAAGACTGTTCTCCTCTACAACCTCCGGTGGTTTTCAGGTTTGGTCTCGGAAGACGGCGCCCCAGGGCAACGCCGCTCGCTCTGGGCACCGCTGGCGAAAAGGAATATCACCACGAAGCCACTCAACCTGGTTCCGACGGATTTGGGACGAAGAGGTTTTCTTCCGAACGAGTTCGGTGGACCTTGGTAAACCGTGTTTTCGGGGCACAGGGAATGAAAAGTAAAACCATGGTTGGAATCCTACATTTTTTCTATGTTTCTTTTAGTGATATCCATCATGCAAGAGTGAAAGACTATCCTACCAGCTAAGTATGCTAGTTACTAGCCTCGCTGGAAAACCTTCGTGCCTTTGAACATAGAAACGACAATAGCATGCCAGGGGTCACAAAGGGGTGGTGTTTGGTCCCTAAGTGAGTGGATGTTCTGGGCACCCTTAACCTCCAAGTTCGGCACCCCTTTGTGACTCCTGGTGCATATTTTTGTACATCACAAAAGTCACAAATAGTAACCATTCCAAAGATTCCAAAGCCATCCTCAGTCCAGTCCTGGACCGACGGATTGCATCTCACGTGAGCATCCCGGCCAAATGAAAGCAGCCGTGACTCATCCGTATGAACGGTTCCAGGGACATCTGGCGTAGTTCATCAACTCCCCTCCCATTTGGATTGGACACCTGTTCATGTTCATTGATGTGGAGGATGGGTTTTGCCTCTGTGGGGGATTTGGCTGCGTGTGCCGATGCCGAGCAGCAAGGTGATCGTCTGGAAAACGGCGATGAACACTCCCTTCTCGTAAAAGGCCTCGCTGGGCGTTTCTCTGAATCTTTGTGAATCTGTCACCCTACGTACTAATCCCTTTCAGCTGAAAGGACCAGTCGTACCGTTGGTATATCAAACATCTATAACATATCCCGTTTGGGCTCCAGTCGTGTGGGCATGGGCTGGGGTGTGCCAGGAGAGTCTATAATACCGAGGAGGTACGACTGGAGCACTAGGGATATTATATACCTGCAACCTGAAACGACCACTTTTTTTGGTTGTTTCTTCAAACGACCGTATATGTTTAAAACGACCATAAAAAATGGTCTTTTCTTAAACGACCGTATTTTTGTCAATTATGATGATGTTCAAATAGTACATCATGCACAATGCATATCAAGCAGTTGATTTGTGAAATCGTATACGATCGTATACGACCGTATATTTCTGGAAACGACCGTATATTTTTCGATCCACGACCATATTGTGTTGAAACGACGAAAGACAATGGTTGTTTTCAAAAACGACCAAAAAATAATTAAAAAAATATATAAAGTTGTCGTTTCGGGTTGCAGGTATCGTATAAATCCGTGCACGTATATCCGATTACTGCAGCAAGGGGTGATGATGGTCAGTAAAGACCTTTCGCTAAAATAGTGATAGCATGTGATAGCTGTTTACCGATTTACCGACTGTTATAGGTAATGGGACAAACCCAATATAATATATAGTTGTGCCCGACTGCAATGTCAGGTTCCATGACCAAACACCTGCTCACCCAATCGACATGCTAGGTAACCTACACTTTTGTCTTCTAACGGGTGCTCAGTAGAGAATAAGAGAGCTTAGGATCGGTACCAGTCGGCCTCCCAGAACTCTGGCGGCAAAAAGCTGGGCCGCGGGAGGCTGGACAACTTGATGTCCTTTTCGCGAGCCGGCGCAGGGAAAAAGAGAGGAGGGACCAAATCCCCCTTGTGTTTGATAGATGAAAAACAACATGGACCAAAATCAGATCCGGCCCCAACAAATAATCGGGTCCTGCAATCAATCTGAGCAGAAATCTGTATGAATTGAATTGTTTTGAGGAGAGTCAAAAGGAGATCTATCAATTCAAGGGCATGGGCAACAGTGGGTGAGGAAAATCGATTATCAATTCAAGTAGATGCACCGACAGGTGCGGTAATTATATGCGTGGCGCATGTACCCCCACACAAACTAACATGGACCCTGAGAATCGGCTTGTGGAAGACTGTGTTCATCCCAAACCCAGTGGTTTTCAGATTCCAAGTTACTCTGCGGAGGAGTATCTACAGGCCAAGCATTGGCAACCTTCAGATCCTTAGGACAGTCTGCGAAGCAATACGGGCCACCTGGGAAGTCCATCAGTTTCCATCCCCCAAGTCGGTGCCAGCTCCATCTGTTTCACTCCATGGGTTTCGGCGAAAACGTCTGCCAGTTCCACAGCCACGCAGCCACTCAGCCACATGAATCATCAAATCCTGTGTGCACTAGACAAGTCAACTCCCACACCAATGATGCCCTTTAACTTTAGGAACAACATAGAGGAGTTCGTTCACTTGGGGGTGGTCTCCTCTCTCCAAATCCCCCTAACCAGTCGGCCGTTACTTTTAAGGCCAGGGATCTGCAGAAGTGGTGGTTTATGGCTTGGCCCAGGGGTACATGCTGAAGGGTCGTCCCTCAACCCATCACCAACCTATCGCCCGGCCGTCGCGATAGAAAACGAGCCTCCCCCCAAAAAAGAAGAGTGACAACAAGTAGAGGATTCTGAAGCTAACTGGCGGCAGAAGAGCCGGAGCACAAGCCTGACCCCTGGCCCGAAAACGGTGCCCTAGACAGTTCGTCACGCTCCGGAGCGAGTTGTGTCGCTCGTCGAGTCCTCCTTTTGCTCAGTGAAGAACCACTCAAACTTCCGGCCCTTCCATCGTGGATCATTGGGGTCCTGCACGGGGGTATGGCCAGATCACACGGGCCATCCAAATGATTTGGAGCACATGGTCTTCCCAGGATGCTTGTTGAGAATATGGTTTTGGTTATTTTGGTTTGACTGGTTTTGCCTTTGATTGTGACTTACCAAAGCAATTTTGTCGATGATCGCCCAGGGTAGGTGACAATCCTCACACATTATCGCTAGGAAACTCGCGCCGACTTCGAAGTAGATGGGGCAGGTCTGCACGCATTGGACCGACTGAACTTATTCATCAAGGCTGCACTGGTTGCCGCATTTCTTCATTTCTTCATGACATTGATAGACCTCCGGAATCGGGATTGCTGAAGGAGGTTGTCTTATCTTCTGATGCCAAAACCGCCAGTCGTTTCATCATGATTACATCTGTGCAGTGCAGTGAATTGCCTGCTCCCCATCTGCAAAACATTGCCCAACCTGGATTTCTGTAAGATACCGTACGTAAGATTGATGAACAAGTTGAGCCCACAAAGACCCCGACGTACCCCCCAACGCGTCGCAGCGGGCAGGGCACGAGTCGTCATCCGGAACGAAGGCACCGGATGACTCTCCCCACATGTTTCGTCCTCCTTCCACTTTTCGGCATACTGGCCTTGCACACTTTTCGTGGCTCCAAGTAGTGAAACATGGACATGGGGCGCCCAGGGTTTTCACAAGTAGATGGGGCCAAACAGGATCTCTGCAGAAATAGGAAAAAGAACAGTTGGAAAAGTGACTGAACAGTGGGGATGCGAGCCAGCGAGAAGAATGATAGTTGCTTTATCTTGTTCCTCGATTTTAATATTCAAGGCAATTACCTTCATTTCGGCAGTCCAATCAAAGTATTGCAGATTCCCCTCAATGGTCATCAGTCATTTTCAGAGCTTTGATGTTGTTCGTCTGTCAGTGTTGAGTTATGTTGAGTTGCTGCTTGTACTCACCAAAATGTCAATGACACGTTCCCAACTGCAGCTGGAATCAAACACTTTGTTCCATTCTCAGTGGTGGAGTCAACCTCACCAAAGCCATCGCCCTATACCAAAGCCCCATGTTTGGGGTGTCTATTCAAAGCCCCTTAGGGTGATTCAGGGTGTCCAAGGTTTGCTTGTCTGAAGCCCAAACCAAACCCAGCCAAACGCTCGGGCCCCCTCGGGCTCCCCAGCTGGTTCGTTGCTTGGCGGGGTCTCCACCCTGCACGACGACGTGTGTCAGCTTGGAGTGGTTGACGCGCGAGCTAAAACACTTAGAAAGTGTCTTTTTGCTTGTATATTGACGCGTCACTTGCAAGGGATCAAGCAGAACTTGCTGTTGTATAGTCACCACATTGGGGCTTTACACGTGTGTTTTTCAGAGGCAGGTTCAATTCAATACAGTTCAAAGCTCATTATATTCTGTAAGAGCTTAAGCTGAAAAAACAACATTGCTGTCTTTGTCACTCTCGAACTGACTAGCCTTGCACCTTGTCTTGCATGCAGTGGTGCAAGCTGTAAAGAGTGAGTCTTCAGACGATTGTCACCGGCATACCTTGGGCTGGGTGAGCACAACTTGTAGAGTGTTAGATGAACAATACCCCCTTTTCTTGATGCGGTTTTACACTCCAAATGGTGGTCTTTGTGAATCAAAACGTCAACATGAGCCGTGTTCTCCGTTGTTCGACTCAAGCCGCGGCTTGATTCCCCGGTGGGTCAAGTCGCCCAGCTTCGTTCTCCGTATGGCATCGCTCCGTATGGCATCACCCGCCCATCCAGAATCATCCAAATCTTGGACCATCCAGTATTAATTGAAGCAGAGATTAATTCATTGATTCCATTAATGGGAAAAGAAAGAGTCTTACTGTCTTACTGGTCAAAAATGTCAAAGACGGATTTATAAGGTAGACTCTTGATTAATTCCCCTCCAATTGAATTAGACATCCTCTTTATGGAGCATTATCAATATCCAAAGTCTATATGAACTAGTGTACGTCTTTGTTCATCAACCGTCACCAGCACAGACTCATCCAAAGGGTCGCCACAATAATGGTCAAAATGGTTTGTTTCCTCCCGTCACCCGATCCCAGGCTGTGCACCATGAAGGCGGAGTTCAGCGCGGTGTGCACGACGAAGAGTGCTAGGGCCAGGCCTAGGCGCAGCTACGAAGACGAGGACAGCGCACGAGTGGGTGGAGTTTCAC